TTATAAGATCCTTTTGTATGCACACAGATGCAATATTTATGCGATGGGCTTTGATAATAAATATGTCACAAAACGACAGCTGTTGTGGTCGACGATAATTGTTAATGCTGCTGACAATGATATTTCTTCGAACTTATTTAACTAATCAATGAAAAATTGGAAATTGCTTATGTTCACTGTACAAATTTATGCAATTTTTTGCTTTTGTTTTTCTCTTTTTTTTTTTATTTAGTTTTTCAATTTGTTTAGGGCTTATGGTAGAAATACTTTTTACATATATTCATGCACTTTTAGATATTTTATAAAATATTTATATTTTTTGGTTAAAACATTTGCAACCAACATAACATGTACATGAATGTTTTTTTTTCCCCCAGCTATGTATTAATTTATATAAGTAAAAGTAAACTGCCGCAGAGAGCAATACTCCGCCCTACAGCCAATCAGCTGTCAGTTTAAAATGGGCGTCGATAAAATCTGATCTCTCTTGCTTAGCTGATGCATGCATATGCATAAACGATCTATAAATAGAAGCACCTGACAATCTATTTAAAATGCCACATTGCATGAAGACGCTAAGATATCACTGCGTGGTAAATAATTTTAAGCGAATAGGTGTAAAAGCATTCGTACGATTAATAATAGTAAAAAATTGAACAAGTACAAAAACCATATTCGACTTTAAGCTGAGAATCGTGGAAACGATTCATTTAAAATGCGATCAATTTCAAGTCAATCAAATCTCGCATCCCAGCTACTTCGGATGGCAGGAAGAATATCAATTTCTTAATGTCGAACCTATTCTTAGTTCACTAGAGGCCAGATGACGGGCAGGCGAATACGCAAATGCTCGAAACGAACGAGCGCGTTTCAACACGAATGCACGACAAAGACAAGAACAGACAAAAAAGGCAGGAAAAATAAGTGGTTGTTTATTTATTTATAGACACTTATGTAATCTCGAAACCATTAAGACCTATTATAATAAATTACAATGTCCACCATAGGTGCAATAAAAAAGTACGATAATACAAGAAGTTCTTAAGCAGTCCAAAACAGAAGAAAATAGAATTGAAGATAAAAAGGAAAAAAAAGAACCGAGAAGATAACTAAACTAGTAGGAAAGGAAATGAGAGAGAAAGATTAAGGGATCGAATAGGCGTACAATCGATCAAGCTGAAAAATGAATTGAACGGGCAAATGAGCGAGCAAGAGGCAAAAAAGATAGGCCAGCAAAAGGACGAAGAACAACCGAACTACACTTATACCGAAAGAATATACGAACTATATAAAGCATAAACGGAAGAAAGAATCAAAGGACAAAGGCAGGAACTAGCAAAAAAATCAAAAAGGAAGTGAAAAATGTTGAAGAGACGCAAGGAGCAAGAACATGCAAGCATGCAACAAGACCGAGCAAAGGCAGAACTGCATGAAAAAAGAGCTGATGAAAGAACTAAAACGTGAGAAACAAGTAAAGGAGCGCTAAAAGGCGCAATGGAGAACAGGAAAGAACGACAACATCTATAGATCAAGGCGGGAGTAAATTAGGAGAGGGGTAGACGAAACGAAGAGCGAATGAATCCATTTCCAAAGATCGCTAATCGACGGTTGCCAATCGATGAGGAACGCAAGAACATGAAAATATCAAACTCTCGATAATTAGCAACATTTCAAACGGTATAGACCCTTCCTCCGATAACACAAAAAACTTGATTGAATTAGTTGAGAATTTCACAAAAGGCAAAAGACAAAATAACAACTTAAGTAAAGATATTTTTGTGGATCTATATTTCATAATCCTGTCGTAGACAAGGCGTTCTACTCGTTCTGTACCCACTACCAAATATCAAAACGATAGTTTCGTAGATCCTACAATGTTCTTATGATTTGATCAGTATCACATTCGGCATCGATTTGAGCATGTGCGTCCATCTGGCCTTCCTTTGTCCGTCTGTATGAACATCTATAGTAAATATTTCCCCGCTGAGAAGAATTAATACATTGGCTTCAAATTTGGCAAAAAACATCCCACAAGATCTTACAAACAGATTTGTAATAAAAATGGACCATGTGGGTCAATGGGTCGAAGAGCACACACATAGTACAGGATGAATTGAGAGCACTCACAAACTACAGTAAATTGAAGAATAAAAGTTCCTACGGATACTTTATAGTTAAGCATACAGTACCTTTATAAAAGTCAGTCACGCCCACGCGTATCGAAAGTTAATTTTTTCTTTTTTGTCCATCTTTTAAGAAACTTGTGATGGTTATAAAAGATTCGACCACAACTGTATATAATTTGCTCGCTTATTTTTCTTTTTGTTTTGTGTAGGAGATCATATAATTCTAGGTAGAAATCGGATCAAATTGGACTTTATTTTAGTACAATATCAATTAAATCAACAAAAAAAACCTTCACCAAATTCTCTAAAAACCATATAAAGTATAAGAAAGGTAAGAGACCACCCAATAATTTCGATCGTTTAGTTTGACAGCTTAAAACTTGTAAATATTTCTTGTCAATAACAGCAACCAAATTTATACGAATTTATTGTTAGTGATTTTACGTCCAACTTGAATGTATTGTACATAACAGAAAATTGGATAATTTCCCGTGGAACAAATCAGTTGTGCAGATCAACGTTAAGTGGTTACCTGACAGTAACCATATGTACCAAATGAAATGTCTGCATGCGAACGCATGCTAGCACACAAAGACTGAAGATTCCCAGGAGCATCATTTAATCTAAAACAGAACAAAATAAAAATGACAGTTTGTAAAAGGCAACAACAAAAAAAAGAGAATAAGTCTTGGATGCGATTTAGCTTTTTGTGCTACCATTTTCTTTATGAATACATGAACACTTTTTTCCTATTGAAGCTGATGTATGCTAAAATTTTATGCAACTTTTGTGGAAGATTATTGTAACCGTAGGCGTAGCTACTACTAAGTAGTTTTATCTATACAAATACCTTTAACAAACTTCTCTCTTTCACCTCGATCTCTGGAGACAGCGAGAACGCTAATAGAACATGGGCCAACGGCCACAACTTAGTTGACTTAAAATTGCCGAGATACACGTTCCGAATAATAAATCTTTTTCTTTGCAAATAAGAACGGAGGGAATCCATTATAAAGTATAAAGGACGCAGGGATGGTAAGGCCTTAGGGTATACAAAAATGCAAACAAATATACGAAATACACTCAGTTATGCGCATAATAGAAAGCCGATCAAAGATTGGCTACGAAGTTCGCGCTTCTTGCTTCAGTCAACTTTCTTGAAAATAAGCGTAGTAAGAAACTCCTGAGGGTGGCGCACGCTGATATTTCTGCTAGTTAAAAATCTGTTGTATATTTTATAAAATTCGAAACGAATAATTCCGATTGTTACAAATAGCGTAAAACATGTAATATAACCGCCTAAACTGGTGTACAATGAATTCGCTGTGGCAAATGTGTGTAGGTGTGTGTGTGTATTAGGCAAGCAGGAGAAAGCACCTTGCTACGAAAGGCAAAGTTGTAATAACCCATAGTATGCAGTATGCAGCGTTGCGTTGGCAAGAAGATATTGTCATTTCCTGATAACATGAATGTTTGGATGTACGCAGTTTTATGCAAAACGTCTATATGGCAATAATCAATGTGTTGCAAGTACAAATTTCTACCTACTGTCAGAATAAATTGTCTCTATTGCCATCACACATTATTAAGGTCATCAACAGGTCATATACAGTTGTTTGACTTACACATTCCTTCTTCTTAAACGATGGTAAAATAAATTTTTCATTTTCTTTGCAACACCTAACGATACACTGATCGTAATGAAAACCTATAATATCACCATCAATAGCCTGTTAAGTGGAAAATGTTGTCCAAGAAAATGGAAGCAGGACTGATATCAAAGAAAACGGGATTTTTAGGCTGATAATAACTAATAAAAACCATCTACCGACCCATGGACAACACACAACAACAATCAAGAAGTTTTTTTCCTTCTGCTCAAACAAACAAGTAATGGCGTAATTTTAACTCGCCCTTCTAAAAACATTTACATTTAAAGTATAAATAATATATGGGAATGCTCATGAAAAATATTTTTAATTAACACACAAGAACAGTTTTTTCACTTTTTGAAACGTGGTGAAATTATTATAAACCATTTCTAATTTTCACAATGCATAAATTGCTTTAGAACAACTCATGTACTAATCAGCTGATAATATCTACTACGTTTATATAATGTTGCTTTACATTGCATAGAGTGTAAAAGGAATTTTTGAAGAATTTATTTTTCCGTTAACCAACTGTTTACAAAATTAACATTACATCACAAGAGCTATAAGCAGAATCTTATTCCTCTGTTAAATAACATACCACTAAAAATCAGCCGCATTGCGTTTTCTGCTCATTTCTCTTATGTGACATTACATAAAAGGAAGTCTCTCTGCATATGAAAACTTAAGCTGCAATGCAAACACACACAATACGTTATTTTGTTGCTTATTTTATTATAAATATTTTTTCATTGTAAATTTTTTTATATAAATTAAATCAGTTTAGAAAAGAAATAACTTTTACTTTTTAAAAAATTACACGAGCTTTCAAAATGTATCATTATCTGTTTTTTTTTCCTTCAAAAATCTTGTAGTTAAATAAATTTCGCTTTCATTTGTCAGTATAATATCTTTATCACGGACAGTATACTTTTTTATCCGTTTAGCGCTTGCAATAATAATTTATACGATTTTTTTTAACGCTATAATAGATTTTTGGGATTTTAATCAAACTGAAAAACTATGATTAATTTTGGCGCACAATTTTGGCTTCTGTTTCCGCAACTTCCTTTTAACTTGTGTTTGCTTTGCTTATTTTGACAGTTGTCAAATAAGAGATGAACTCACATTGATTAGAGATTTTATTTGTCACCTAGCTCTTTCAGCAAAGAGGCGATTTATGGCATTTATGAACTGTTATAATTATAAATTCTTTATTGTACTCTGTAGACTCGATGCGAAACAATTGTTTTTCCACATGTTGCTGAATAAATAGATCGGTCACCTAGCCCTTTTAGAAATTAGAACAACAAGCTAAGACTTGTTATTATTTCCTTTATTTCATATTCTCATAGTTTTTATATATACTTATATTTTAGATTTAGACCAATCAATTCGCTTAATGATCCTTATAACTTAAACTTAAACACAAGAACTATATATGCAACACTCTACCGTCTATTTTGGTTGTCAGAAATCATGTCAAAAGCAATTTTTTAAAACTAATTCAGTGTAAAATTTCAATTGCTTTTTAATAGTTGTCTCCTTTTTCTTAACTACACGCAAAATACCTTCGTTTATACCGCGTCTTAATGAAAGAAAATTATAATGTGAAGAAAGAAAAGTCTATTAAACAGATTTTTCCAACCTTTGTATAAAAACGTAAAATGTTTCGCGTTAGGAAAACGAAAAATAGAAATGAAAAGTTTTTTAGTCAAAATTAATTGAATTTGGATATTTGCCCTTTCCAGCACCTATATAATTGAACGTGCTCTATTTCCGTAAACATCACAAGCTAAAAAATACAAAACATAATTATTAGTCTTGTAAAATAATATATAAAAACAAACACTAATTGTGATATATTTTAACGATTTTGGCTTTTTGAATGTGCAATTAACCATTGCAGTGTTATGTCAATGTTATCCTTCTCTTTGCATGAAATGCTATAACAACATATTTCTCTGTCTTGTACACTAGAAAGATTCCTAAAAAAAAGAAAAATAAATCAACCTTTTTCTAAAAATATTAGAATCAAGAACTTATTTCGCTTACATTCGCTCTATAAGACCGGTTTCATCTAAAGCACCAGGAAGATCGCGTTTATTCCCTAGTACGAGTACAGGAATACCAGCTAATTGCGGTTTATCTAGCAAAGAATGCAACTCATTACGAGATGCTTCCATTTTTTCCAGATCGGCAGCATCCACCATATAGCTGTAAGTAAGAGTAGGCAAATAACATAAAATTTAAATTATTCCTAAAATATTTGCACTTACACAATAGCGTTGACACCTCGGCAATATCGCTCCCACATTGATCGAAATCTTGGTTGACCGCCAATATCCCATACTTTGATCGTTACATTACCTTTGGTAATTCGACGCATATTAAAGCCAACTGTAGGTATCATGTCTTCGGTAAATTGGCCGGACTAAATTAAAAAAGAAAAGTTTAATAATTAATTCCAACCACAGAAAAATAAAAGACGCAGGCAACTTAATTGCGATATGCAGCCTTATGACTCATAACGAACAATGGTTTATGTCAACAAAAACGTAAAATAAAAAGTATAAAAATCGTCTAGTGAGTGCCTTCGAGCACGCATGCATACATACATACTTATTGTAATTTAATTCAAAACATTTCGAACAATTAATTAGAGTGCGAAAAACATTTTTTATCTGTAAATCTTTTAATAATTTCAAAATGATCGCAGAGGCATTCAATTATGTGAACACACAACAATGAGTATAAATGACAGACGTCCAAAAACGAATACTTACTGCAATAACATTTACAAAAGTCGTTTTGCCTGAATATTGCAAGCCAACCAAAGTTAATTCCATTTCTTCTTTCCAAAATATACTTTTAAACCAATCTAATATTCTATTTATTAATGCCAACATGTCTCCGAAGATGTATTTTTATCACTTTTAATTAAACTTGAGTTTTTCACTAAATTATTGACGCCCAACAACTTTTTACGCTGCTTTTATGTTTCTTCTCTACTTTGCTGCTTCTTGCTGTCAAAGTTACACAAAGATCATAATGTGTGAGAAAGAACAACTAAATATGTTAAAAGGGCTGACAGCTGTTTCCTAGTTAACATTTAACAGAGTGTTATGAATATTTTAAATTAGAATCTCTTTGTTTCGATAGTTATCACTTCTTTTTTTTAAGATATGTGGCTGTTACTCTTTAATTAAATACATGGAACTAATCTTAAAAACGGAGGTTAATGTTTCGATACAAAGTCCATTACATTATATCTTTATAAAGACGGCGACTACCGCCCCTGTTCAGACATGAAAAATTTAACTTTAGCTGTCGTCTTCAACTGTTTTGCATGGATAGTTGAAAACGAAACAGAAAGCCAACATTCACTCGGTTTCCCTTTCCGAATAGCGAGATGTGTTATTTATAGGCTTTCTACTTTCCAGAATAACCGAAAATAATGAAATGTATTTCATGTTATATGCGAATAATTATCTCGTTTACTTTTTAAAATGATGACTACACCATGAATTATATTCTTTATGCAGTTACTTATCTGTGAGTGACTAAAATAAAACACTTCCTGCCTTTGAATCTGAAGAATTGATAACTTGCAGCAGTGAAACAGCTGAGGAAGGCTGCAAGTACCAAGAAAATAACATATTTTTAAATTGAAAGTACAATTAGGATTTAAATCCTTTCTCTTAAAAGAAAACAAGACAAAATAAGAGCAGCGAGATAGCCCCATCCAATGCCTGAAGCATTTTGAATTATAAACTCGGACCTTTTCAGCGTGCGAGTTTCCCAAAAAAAGGTTTTCTAGAGATATGGGTTGCCAGGACGAAGATTATGTGAATCTTTTTCTACTCATACTTTATGGTAGGACAGTAATGATGTAAAACTATCCTATTCTACATATTTCTAATATTTTCCAACGCAAACTACGGGCTTTTTATATTCTAATCAGAATGCGTATGTGTCAGAATATTTTCCAACGTAAACTACGGGCTTTTTATGTTCTAATCAGAATGTGTATGTGGCAGAAAATCCTCTTAGAAAGTCTTTTCCCATTAAAAAGAGAATTACAACGAAAGAGACGTTAACTTTGATTTTGACAGAATTTCTCAATATCTTCACTGGGGAGGGGTTGAAAAATGACAAATTTTCAATAAATCATCAAACTTATACTAATTTTGGCATCATATACACAAATGTTCGAAGTCATTAGTTTTATGTAATTTAGCAATATAACATGGATGAAATGTTTATGTCGTCGATTTTTTTTTATGGTTTTTAAAAACTGCATGCTGGCTCCCCAATTCTGTTCTTTATTGTTTCTCTTACTTGTCTAGGCTGTTAGTGGATGAGGCTTCAAAAACAGCGTACGCTTCGAAATGCTCGGCAAATTTTTTATCAACTTAATTTTCCAAACTTAACGCTGTAAATTAACATGTCACATTACAATTCTTGGTGAATTTTCTTCCTGAGATACGAAAAATTGGAAATAAAACTTAATGTTGTCGTATAAAATATCATTCTTTGTAAGAATTATGGTAGTTAGTAGATTCCAGAAAACTCTCCCGCTCCACCCAGTCTTTTGGCATATATCTAATTAACCGATGTAGTATTTCTCGTCGATTTTTGATTAGACATGGATGTATTTATTTTCGTACAACACAAATCGGATTTTCATTTTCCATGCGAACCTGTCGAAAATTGCGAAAATTTTTTATAAAGAAACGTACATGCATCAATGCGCGGATAGACAGACGGGTTTATTATTATTATTATTCAGGAAAGTGTTTGTCGCTGTTTGCAGAACTCGCCATCAGTATAAGAGAAAGATTAATTCTCACCCTTAGCAATTATGTACCTGAAAAATCCGAAATGAACTTTCATTAACATTATGAGATCATTAGTTTACCTGTGCTCAGCGCATAAAATAAAATTTAAAGAATAAAATATATTTAAATTTTGTTTTGTTTTTTCAACATTTCTATAATAATTTCAAGCTTATTAATCTAAGTTATATTTCAATACAAATTTATATTAATGTGTCTTGTTGTTGTGATACGGTTATATATGCTTATCTCCAGACTATATATTGATGCGCTTAACAGCTAAAATGACACAAATTTCTCTTTGTTTAAAGGTTAAATTTAAGTTGAATGTGATTTTCTGTTTTCTTTATTATTATTATTATTATTATTATTATTATTATTATTAAATAAACACTTCACGACAAAACAATTGCAAAATTTTGTCATTTTCAAAAGTAAGACTGAGTGAGAATAATGCTCCAAACGAACGAAGCAAAGCTTGGATTGGTAAGCACTAGTAAATAAATAAATAAATTAACATTTTTCAAAAAAAAAAGGAGCGTGACAGCTGAACATAATTTTCTTCAACTTAGTATTTCACTCCTCACTCCTCACATTGGGTTACGGTTTTTATGAAAATTTTCACCTGATATTTAAAACCAACAGAGTAGAACTCAAATTGGCTCTAACGGGACTACCGCTAAACTGATTGGGG